ATAAAACTAACAAGTCGTTCCAAAATTGCAGAAAACATTTTCATCTTGCTGGAAAATGCGAGCTTTTTTATGTAATATGCATGAACCGGTACCACGACTATTACATACTGCCTAAATTAGTGCTAATTAATTAGATAAAAAACCATAGTTTTTAGCTTAAATTGTTTTAAATATTGACAACGGATGAATGAGAGGTTAATTATTAGGTTAAGTATAATTAATTATCAAGCAAAAAGATATTCCTCAATGCTTATATTTCTATTTTGGTTTATTTTTTTACCGAAAATTTATCGTGGCAAAGAATTCGAATAGCTCGATCAACTGCTACCTGAAAATTTTTAAAAAATTAAGAAAAGAGAAAATTTGAAATATTGCAAAAGCAATGAACATAAATATAAAAATTCATTAGCACCAATCTTTAATATCGTAATATTATATAACTGATTGAGGAAAAAATTGAAAAAAATAAATGATGAAATTATGAGAAAAAAAAATTGATGTTTTTTTTTTGTCTTATTTAGTTTCAATAATTATTGAATTACCTGAAAATGAAGAATTTGAAAATTTTAAAAATGTAACCTCAACAGTAACACCTTTATTGAGCAAAATTGAAATTGTTCCAGTTGGTGCAACATAAATGATTGGTAAATTGCTACATTTATCACTAGAAAAAATATTGCTAGCAGAATAGTAAGTGTCGCCATTAGCACCATCGCTATCACCACCACCATTATCACCACCACAACCATCATTACCATCATTACCACTACCACCACTACTACTTCCGTGTAATACGTCTAAAATAAAATTTGAATAATTTTATTTTTTATAGCAAATATAATTCGTGATAACTAAGCAAATTATAATTATGATTTATCATTTTATCAAAACAAATGACTAACTTTCACTCCTGATGGTATCTTCTGCTGTTGCAGTTTGGGAAGTGAATTCAGAAGCAACCGTTTCACTTTGCGAACGTTTTATTACGTTACTACGCCGCGCCCGATTTGCACGTAATGCTCCATTACGAAATGTTCGCGTTACTTGTGATCGATAACTGAAATTGAAATTTTCAATTCTCAAACATTATCTTATTCAGCTATCTTCTATAAAGATATACACTTATAAAAGATAATGTTTACAGAGATGATAGTATTGATTGAATTTTTTCTCTTTCAAAAAATTAATTCATCATGTATAACTAAAATTTTGTTTTCCTATTTTTTTTTTTTTTTTTAGAAAATAAAAACAACGAATAAAATTTTGAGTGTAAGGAAGAATAATCTTCTTCAGGATTTTTTAGTATTTTACCTGGATGAATTTGCATGTGAATTAGTGCTTTTCGAAGATTCAGTGGTAGCAGAACGTTGATTTTCATTTTCAACATTATCGATGACAGTTGCGCTTCCAGTTGTTCGTGCAGTTTTGACTGTTCGATTATTTTTTGTACCGGGAATTGATCGTCTTGAATTGTTACTATTGTAACCACTCGCCGAATGAGGACACCAATAACCACGAGATATGTATGTGGTTGAACGAGACCTGTTCGTGAACAGCTGTGTACTTTTTTTTTTTTTGAAAAAAATGTCCTTCCTTGCTAGAATTACATTGAAAATAGCAATAAATAGTTGGATAATGGAGAAAAAAAAATAAATTAATTAATATGTTAAGTGAATGAAATAAAATTCACCCGCAATTGATTGAGCCACGTCGTCCGCGACCAGCGTAAAAGACGCCGCTACGACGACGGCCTTCGTCCCCTTGACGTGTTGTTTGCATCTGAAAAGCAGCAAAAATTTTTGAGAAAATCTTTTTTTAGACACTTCAGAAATAAAAAAAAAAAATTATTATAATGTAATTGAAGTTTAAACTTCAAATGATACTTTTTCAAAGATTTGACAGTTCCGAAATCAATGTAAAATGGAAGACATGTGCTCGTATTATAATATAATAGGTAAGTGTAAAGGATGTATTGTTCTTACACTTTTAATGAGTAGAAACTGAATGTAATGTAATATTAAAATTAAATTTACAGTCAATCACAAATAAATTTTGAAATAAAAAATTAATGAAATGTTAAATTGTTCGATGAAATTTCAAAAAAAAAAAAAGGGAATTTTAACTTCTTTGTTTTCAAATGATTTTGCATCCGTTTTCAATGTTTTTGATAGCTTTTGATTGTTAACATCATCGTTGATAATATGTGGAACGGCTAATTCGGTAACGCTTTTCGTCGGATCATCGCTACTACGAATGTCACCCATTGCTTGCTTCTTTGATTCTTTGCTTAATTTTTCCTTACGTGGCTAAAACATGTTTTTGCAAAAACAAAATAAGCTATAATTAATTGTATCAGATTAAAAAATTAAATAATGCTGGAAATTTAATGACAGATATTATCTGAAAAATTTTTTTCTGTCACCAATTAAACGTAATACAATATATGAAATTTTATTCTGAAGTGTTTGATTAAGCAAAAGAATACATTCCGTTATTATTCATTTAACGCTTATTACTTTCATCTTTTGCAGTTTAATTAGAAGAATTAATTAAGAGAGAGTTAGAAGAGAAACAAAAAATATATCAAAAATTTTCATCATTAATTATAACTAATAGTCCGTGAAAATTATACGTTTTAACACATTGTACTATTATTGATTATTTAATTATGCAAACTTATTCA